AATCTCCATAACCATCTATGCATGAAGCATTGTTGGAGCATGGCCCAGAGCTACATTCATCAATGTTTTGCTCGCACGAAATTCCATCAAATCCTTTGAGGCATCGACAAATATATTGGCCAACTCCATCAATGCAGGTGGCGTTATTTTGGCATGGTTCTGTGGCGCACTCGTTGATTTCAAATTGACAGTCACTCCCGTAAAATCCTCTTGGACAGACGCAAACATAGCCATTGGTCTGATCTGAGCAGCTTCCGTTGTTTTGGCATGGATTAGAGGAGCATTCATCAATATCAGTTTGGCAGTGATCACCACTAAATCCTGCCTCACACTGACATTTGTAGCTGTTAACACCATCAATACAGGTAGCTCCATTTAAGCAAGGGTTTCCTGGTAAACAGTCGTTGATGTTTTCTTCACAGTTTCGACCTCTAAATCCTGTGACACACGTGCACTGATAAGAATTGAATTTGTCAATGCAAGTGCCGCCATTAAGACACGGATTAGATTTGCATTCATCCTCTTCTAGATCACACTTCTCTCCAACGTAGCCTGGTTCACAGTGACACTTGAACATATTGACAAGATCTTCACAAGTAGAATTGTTTATGCACGGATTAGACTCACACTCATCGACCTCTTGTTCACAGGTCTTACCAATAAAGCCAGGGATGCAATCACAGGCGAAATAATTTATTTGATCTTTGCATGTGGCTTTATTAAGGCATGGAAAGCTGGCACATTCATCAATGTCTACTTCGCATTGTTTACCAGTGAAGCCAGGGACACAAGTACAGCGGAAATCTGCTATAAGGTCGGTACAGGTACTGTTGTCTTGGCATGGATTGGAATCGCACTCATTTATTTCTGAAAAGAAAACAGGTGTACCAAACTTAGCATATACATGTACCATCTACCTGTGTTGCTGGCTGTTTAAAGGATCAAGAATCGTGAAACACAGATTTAAGGCATGGCATAACAACGCAAACATACCTATGCAGCTTGAAGAACTCGTCGAGCCACCTTGAAGAGTAGCCTTTGTTCCAGAACAATTAATGCAACTCTTTTGCTCAAAGTTGGGCTGGTATGATCGTCTGTTGCATGGTACACAGGGCTTCAAACCAGTATTTGAAAAGGTTCCAGGCTGACAAGGTTCTGAGAAAAGAGTAGATTAATGGACCCTAGTCAGCTCCTTTACGATGCCATCGAAATTATTGATATTGAATGGTGAAGCGAAATATTTTTGCTTTACTGCAAGTTGTGTTCCTGAAAGAGTGTTTAATTAGCTGGAGTACTTTCACCGAGATTTCCTTCGTTTCGACATGCTCGGAATAAAACATAATAGCCAAACTCTGACACGTAAACAAAAATAAAGGTGTGGCTGATCGTTTCTCACTGAATGTAAAGCAATATCACAGGAAATGCCCTTTCCTAAAGATATGCGCTCTTGTCAATGTGTGAACGATGTTAAAATTAATTAATAATAATCAAAATATAAATCTGGTTCTAAACATTCAGTTCGCGACTCTTTTGGGTGTATTATTAGCGAGTCAACAGTCGACTATGTTTTACCTTGGTTATTCATGGTTTAGTTTTTTTTTTTTTTTTTTTTTGCATTCTTTATGGCAACTAAATATTTGTTTCGGCTATTTCGTCAGCGAACCATTAGAAACAGACACACTGCACTGTAAAAGTACGAGTCCTGGGTAGGTGTGTATCATGTAGGCCATATCTTGGGGTGATCAGATACAGCTAAACCTATACTGTATACCACAAATCCCTAAGCTTTCAAACGTCCATTTGCCTAAGTTTTCTTCTCTCCCGAAAGGTTTGAAAGCCAATCTAAATGTGATTTTAAAACTGAGAGAGTCCTACCAAGCGTCTCATGGAATTCAAAATAAAAGATCTACTGGTTTCTACCTGCGCAATCGCTACTTCTCGTTGCACCATCTCCAGGGGTCGTCATGTTCCCTCCACAAGCAAGACACTCTGTCTGCCCAGTTAGATTCTGATACTGTCCCTTTTCACAAGGATAACATCCCTCCAAACCAGTGGGAGAGAAAAATCCTTTCTTGCAAAAAGCTGTAATAAAGTGCGTTATGTAAAACAGAATCATATAATCTATAGATTTAGCCAAGCCTAAAAGCGTAGCTCCTGCTCGCAATAATTATCTATAAAGAAAAGAGGGGATTTGTTTTCTTGGATTTTCTTGGAAGAAAAGTCAACAACCCGCCAGGGTTTAACTCACGCCCAAATTTTTCCTTCGCACATTGTCCCCACTTCTTCCCCTGTATAACCTGACCTGAGCCTGCGATCCAATCGAAAATCAGTACCTGGTCAGGAGTCAAATTTAAAAAACACGTGACCTCGATGAGCCATAATCCTGAGCCCGCGATATTGTCACGTGATACTGGAAAGTGTATATCTTGTTTTGACAGCTGTCAATAAACCATGACATAGATGTCCAATATAAAAGATGTACCTATGGTAATGGTGCTACTCTTTTATTTTTCAAGGTATTGGGCTTGGCGTACGGACAGTCACGTGACAACCACGATTTAGATCGATGGGTTACCAAATTTTCTAAATTATGGGGCTCCACTCGCGTGCCTTCAACGCGCAGGAGCTCCGCCATAATTCCCTATTGCCTTGCCTTGCAAAAAGATGGTAGTTGATATCAGTAGCCTAAGAGAAGTCTAGTTGGTAGGTAACTAAACTCAGTTTTGTTCTGAATCATCAAGTAAAGTCAAGTCCTCTTTTTTTTTTTTTTTGCAGTTTGAAACTTTCAACACTTGGCTGGTATCAAGAGACCCTTAAAAAGCCTATCAATATAAAAATGTAGCAAGATATAAATATTGTAATATTAAAGAATATCCTGAAAATTCTTTATTAGTTACCTTTGCAATATGAAGAGTTTTGTGATCGTTTGTCTACTGTTGACATCCCCAGTGGACAGCTCTTACACTCCACCTGTGCTTCACTGTCTTGGTAAAACCCCTTGCGGCATTCTTGGCATTCGTTTTTACTGATGTTGAGGTAGTAACCAATCGGGCAGTTCACTGTTAAATTAACAATTAATCCCCCATAAAGGAGTTATTCCTAAGGTAATCTCCCTCTAGTTGTTTTTAGATATGGCGAACCCGTTCTTCGGTGTATATTGTTACAATGCACATTGCTTTGGTACGAGTCGCAGCGGTGATAAGATAATGCAAATCGATTTTCCTTGCGATATGATATATATATTTTCTCTGAGAAAATTCTTAATGTTGGTTTGGTTTTGTTCGATTTACATCTACAAGTAAAAGATTAGGCTAAGAGTATTAACTGATTCAAGAAAACAGTCTCCATTGTCGTTAAACACGCCAGACAGGATATTTGTGTTAACATCTCCATAACTATATGTGTGTTGTAATTATTACAAACGCAATAACAAGGATGTCCCTAACACATTTGAGAAAATATGTTATGGTTTATTAAGGAATACCACACGCAAGAAATTGAGAAAGAAAGTTAATGATACTTACCACACAGCTTGTTTTTGATAACTTGCCCTTCAGAGCATGTTTTCTGGACTTCAGAGGTAACAAAGGACCCTACTTTTGGTACGAGGGTTTCCCCTTCGACAAAGACACTGAGATTGCCTGCGTCTACCGACTTCTCCAGTTTAAGTGCAGCATTTTCCAAAGCTGCTGTTGCTTCAGAACTGATGTCTTTCATATTCGCGGAAGTGAGATTACTGTCATTTCTGAGGCCAGAGAGTTCAACTGAAAGGCAAACAAAGTCAAAGATAATAATTATAACAATAGCTTGGGTAGCTTTAATTTCCACCACGAGAAAACGTCTTCTCTTGTCGGGACTCGAGGAAACCGGGTTGGCGGAACTTCGCCGGTTATAAAGTTTTAAATAGTTAGTAAAGACTGCCAAACTTAATGACTTTATCAAGTAAACAGCTTAGTATCACACGTCGCTGCGGTCGGACCTTGACGTTTCCATGGCAATCATATATTTAATTAATTATGTAATTTGTGATAACCCAAATTAATATAAATAACTGTTTTGTCGGCACGGAACAGGGGGGTGGGGGCGGGTTCGAGATGTGCAGTGTTAAGTGGGAGTAGAGTTTGAAATTCGTGGCCATTAGCAGGGTGAGACATTCCACGGTCAGCCGTGTACAGTTGCAAAGTTCGCTTTCTTTTTCTTGATTATGCAGGGATGTTACTTTCCGATTGTTTGTAGTTCTTTAGTTCTGTCACTTACTTACATGGCCTCGCTGTCCAACGCGCCCAATTCAAACACGATGTGTGTCCAGATAAGTAGTGGAGCCAAAATAATATTAAGCTCAAAAGAAAGGTAGCTATATAGCTAAAGACGGGACTAATGATCCGTATATGACCCGTAGTGTCCCCAATTAGTTTTTTAAAGCTAGATACCATTGGCACTTAAAATAAAGTCTTTTATTCATTTATTCATTTGTGAGAAACCTTGTCCTTAACGCAGAAAGAGAAAAACAACACTTACCAACAATATCAAATTCTACAACAGCTTCTTCCAAAACAGAACGTCGAATCCTTAGAAGGAATTCCTGCACTTTGATACCTGGAATTCAATGAAATACTGATGGTATTAGTTATTCTATACGCAGTAGAGTTGGCCATTCCATCAGGCTAAAGATATCTTAAAGGTAATGCTGGTCATTTGTCATGGCGAATATCGTCCTTGGATCTTTTCTGTAAGGACCTCGCGGTGCCACATGGCCGATATTAGCGATTGACAATCAGGCTACCCAATTTGTACCCCAATGAACCGACTGGGACAAAAGCTAAAGAAAGGAAGATCGATGCCAGTTTTGAAAACTGGCGAGTATCACTTGGGAGCATCGCATTCCTTAGTTTGCGCTGCGTCATTTGCACGGAAAGGAGAAAATGTTTGAAACCATAACGTCGGATATCCCTTATGTTTGATGAGTTCTTGACCAATCGCGCGCGAGTAAATAAATAAAATGTAAATTGATTGACGATTTACTATTATGGTCATGGGCATACCTAAAAGACAAATTTAAATAGATGAAAACCTAAAAAAAGTGTTCCAACTTTGTTTAAAATTGCCATAACTATAAAACTAATAATTAAATGATTGTTCACAATGGCTTTGGTCTTTCCATGATCAGAAAATGAACACAATAAAATCGCAGTAAACATATCCCTTAGACTCACCTGAGAGACTTCGTCTTCGTCTTTTATCACTGTAACAAGTCACTTTCACATTATCAGCCTTACATTTGTCCCTTAAGGTATCAGCCTGACAGACTTCGTTGAACACGGAATCATTCAACAACTGTATAAACTGTTCCTTTATTTGTCTTTGGACGTCTGGATCTGAACAGTTTCCACTGAAGAAATGTAGCTTGTTAGTCTTTCTCTCGGAAATAGGGACCGAACTCGCTGAAACGACAAAAATGGAAACCGTTAAAGCTTTAAGCACTGTACTCGAAACAGTCGTTCTGTTAATCAATAACAAGCTGCAAGAACTCGACAGGTCAGTAAAACGGTGTTGCTGCAAGCGTGGTGCAGATCCATCATGGAAAATTTTGATTCTGTCAAAGATGATTGAATATTTAACTATGCCTTTTTGAAGGCAGGGCGTCATCACTTTAAGAGTAAATTAAGCCTTCGACCTTAATAGCAAAATAGTTACTCCGTGCTAACTGTTTCTGTATGAAGCCATTTACTACTGGATTTTCCGCGAAATTCGGTGTCAAAAATTGTGCTCCGTGGTTGCTGAACTTCCAGTCATTCAGAAATGTCCCTTATGCTGAAACCACCTAAGCCTTCAAAAGCTCCAAACCGTGAAACTATCCCATTAAGGATACCGTGCGATTGTCATTCACATTTAGATGCATCCTCCATATTAAGCAGCATAACAAACAGTATAGTACGTAAAGTCACCAATACTGCAGCAATCGGTTCAGAAATTACAGAAATTATAGAGAAACTATGGATGTAATTTGTGGAATGAAAATTGAAAATCTTGGACTGCATCGTCATGCCTTGTAAACGTCGAGTTAATCTTATGCCAGAGGTATTGTACCCCCTATACCAAAATTTAGGACATTATTTCTAAAGAATGCTGCGCATAGGCGAGTTTCATAATTATTACCTGCGCAGTCCGGCCAGTCACCAGGTGGTAGCCATACTCCACTCGCACCGCATGCCCAGACTGAACTGGTCAAAACCTCTGCAAAGTCGTAACGGTCATTGCAGAATGGGGAACAAAATCGTCCAAACATCCAGTCATCGCAAGCCATAGCGCCATTCTCTGGTGGGCGTTTCTCTATGCAATCTTGAGCTGCACGCCGTCAAGGAAAGATGAAACGACGTAATCAGTGGCATTTGTGAGGGGAATAGTTACATGTACCAAGTAAGGGACGTAAATATTTGAAATGTAAGTGGGCCTTCGCTGTTGCGGGGCGACTTACAAACAAAAAGAACCAACAAAGAAACTAGCCAAAAAGTGTCTTTTTTTGGAAGCGTCTTTAAACTTAAATGATACTTGCGATTCACAAATCCTTTTTCACTGCTATTTGTCATTAAAGCAGTTAATTTTTACTGCCTTAGCCGACCGGAAAAAGAGACCAAAGTCCAATATAGATTCAGTGTCCGTAGTTTTAAAATTCCTTTCAGTTTCAAATGAAAAGTTTTAAAACATGTTCATTTCCTTGTTTAGATGCAATGTAACGAAATTAAAGTTATATAGCTCTACATTTGTGTGCAAGCACCCAATGCGTTAAGAGGTGACGCCACTTACGTTTGACAGTTACGACAAAATAACACACTGCTGGCTCATTGTTTGGGTTATTGTCATACGCTCGACAGTATATGTTCCAGTCCCCCCAGTAGAAGGAATCTCCACTCTGTCTGTTACACTGTGGCTCAATAATGCCCAGACTGTTGTCCTTAAAGATCGGTGCATCCCAGGTTACGATGCTTGTTTGAGCTGTGGCTCTGATGGTGAAACTTGCTGGGCAAAACAAAACCTGAGGACCCATGTCGTCTGAAAGATAAAGGCAATAGCTATACTGAATTCACAAAGTGAGGAAATACAGGCAATTGCAAACGTATATATAGCAATAATAACTGAGTTTTGGGGAACGGGACTTCAGAGTTTGTACCGGGACTGTGTAATTTTGGTTATAATTTCATCTCCTTTCACATCGATTAGTTGGTTAAGGTGGCTCAAAACAGTTTTCCGTTTTCTTGACACTTATAGAACTGGGTGCGATTTTTCAAACTTGGAATTGTACTGTTTCGAATGGCTGTGCTATTTTTTAAGGGTAACTCTCCACTGTGTCTTTCATTGTGTTTAAGTCATAAATTAAGGTTGCACTGTCCTGTTGCATAGCACGAAACTCGACCCACTTTTTACCATCAATTGCATCTATCTTAAAAACCAAGACGGTGACCCAATATTTTTTTATAAAAATCTTTTTATTTCACACAGAAGAAGAAACAGGCAAAATTATAAAAAAATTCTGTGGAGTGGATTTTTCTTAAATTAAGAAAAATGGAAATTTCCAAGTTGGAGAAATTCCACTCCACAGTTTTTTTCTTTTTTAAAAAATTTCGCACGCGTATTCCGCTTTTGCTGTTGAACATTTTTTTGCATTAAAAAAGTGGGGTCACCGGATCAGTTTCTGAGATTTTAGCTTCGTGGATAAGGTATTTTAGCGCGCGTTGTACGCGCAAATTAAAATCTTGACTTTGCAAGATCGCCCCTTGCGCACGCGTGAAGGCGGTCCGCTGATCAGTAAACCCCGCAATTCCACGAGAATAAACGCACGGATGATAGTCCGCGAATAGTGTTCTCTTTTCTGCTGTTGTCGTTAGCAGCATAAGAGGTAAAAGAAGAATACCATGAATACCCGAATGCGGGACTAGCCAAGTAGAAAGAACGAAGAAAACCAGAAGAGTAGTTTTTTCCCTGCTGTTTTTTAGATTGGCAGCCGGTGCGATCGATCGCAACATCAACATCCAACAGTGGTTTAAAAGGATGTTCCGTTCAAATTGACTGAGGAATGGATGTTTTCGAAGTTAAAAATAACTGATAACGCAAACAGCTTACTAAACTTGGCGGAAACAAAAGATTTCGAAGTAGGCCTCGAGCCGCCATGTTTGTTTTGATTTTTGTAAACTTTAAATCTCGTGCGCTATCTTGCAAACCCTCGAGTGATCGTGTAATGCCTCGCGCTGAAGCGCGCGCTAGAACCCAGGCGTCTCACGGAAATATTACTGTTTTGAGCCACCTTAAACGTCGTTAGGACCAAGCATCTTTAAGTTTGTTCCAGCCACGAAGCAGTAGGCAAGTGAATTAAACTAGTTAATGATGTGCCGTGCTCCCCTAGTGAATCTGAAGCGTTTGTCCAGGTCAAACCATTTTGACGAATAAGAGTTCTTTTACGCAGTGGCATCAGTCCCGTTTTATGTACTGTAAGTTAACTGAACAGCTGACTCGCTGGCACAAGATTCACATTCTGGCATTGCTTGATAGGCTCTAACAGCACCTATCATCTTACATTAGAGCAGTTTTCAATTGACTGCCGTAAGACCAAAACCAAAGTAATCACTCTAGCCAATCAAAAAGGCCATAACCACTACAGTGGGCCAATCAAAACTCGAAGTAATTACAAGTAGCTGACGCAAAACGTGCGCGAACGAATTACGATTGTATTTCCGGTTGGATGAAAAACTGGCGGGAGTTTTTTTAAGCCAATCACGTAGCGTAGTAAGCGCAAAACCAATTGCTTTTCGACACTCAAATCAAAACGGCTTATTTTACAAGACACTGAATAATAATGAAACGTCTTACCTTCAACTCGGATGCGAAAGGTGCACGGAGCGACATTGCCATTTGAGTCAACAGCAGTGTACGTTACAGTCGATGTTTCGTTAAACTTATATGGTGGACGAACGCCGATGGGGCTGACATTAACGGCTGGTGCAATTCCGCTGTTATCGGTGGCTATAGGAATTGTCCAATTTGCCTCTGCACTCCCATTGATATTCAATGAAACAAGGATGTCGGAAGGGCAGGAGTTCTCAAAAGACGGTGGAGTAACGTCTGGCAAAACATAAGGAGAAGGACTTACGTTAGGAAAGGTTAAGTGTGTGTTTGAGGCTAGTGTCCCACCACACTGGCGTTTATCTCCAGTTTGGATTGGAGGAAATGACTGGGTGACTAGGAGTGTTTCCACTCTCCTCTGGACAGGATGTTTGTCCATTGTAGGGCTACCCTCAGCATTTAATTAATCCACTGCTACATACCGTATTTATACATGTATATAGGCACTGTGAGAGTTAAGTGCCTTGCCCAAGATACACTGACCCCGGCTAGGGATCAAACCCACACCGGTCAATCAGGAGTCCAGTCCAATAATCATGAGGCGGCGCCGCACCTCCCGAAAAGAATTTATTTGTGTCTTGTTTCAGTGCGAGAGCCGACTTGGATTCTTCAAAGAGTTATTCCCTGGAGTATTTCGTTGGGATTAGGAAAATGTTAAAAAAAAAAAAAAAAAAAAACTCCAAGAAGATTGAGGTCTGAAGCCAGACCCAAATTTCTTTGAATTTCAAAGTCTAACGATTCGAAATGTGCAGCTTGAAATAAGACGATTGAAGCAATATTCGAATCAGACAACCGGAAACAAACGAAATATCAAGTATAAGTTGTATAGTAAGGGCCAATTAACAATTAGACCCGAATGCGCTATTGACCTGTGGCCCTTGAGGGCGAAGGGTCTAATTGTTTTAGTATCACCCAACTAGTCGGACAGAAAAGGCAATAATAAAGTTGGCAAATGCAAGTTGAAGAAATATTTCTTTGGGACTAAAACGAAGGAAAGCGTCACGCCCGATTGCCAATTTCGCTACTCGAGGACTATTACTAATAGTCCTCTAGTAGCGTAGCCAATTAAAATGCAGGATTTGCATTAGTCCACTAGTTGGGTAATACTAATGTATAGTAATGTGTGCACTATTGTTGCTATAAGAAGTACTTTATTGTCCAAACCTACACCAAGTTTTCTGAGCTTCCTTTAGCCGTTCGATGGCCGTGTCTTGTCAGTACCGTAGTTGTAACTTACCTTCACACTGCAGAATTTTGCTTGTGTCATTACTCCATTGTCCATTTGATCCACAGAAAAATTGATCCACGCCACTAATCACTCTAAATCCAACGTGGCAACCTACTTCGCAAGATGATCCGTAAACAGGCCTTTCAGTAGAACAAAACCAGGGCGAGATCCAGCCATGCTCCGGAGCCGAGAGAACACTGCATCTTTGAACTTGACATGAATAAAACACACTTAATCTTTAATTAAATGGTATAGAAAACACACTCAACCTTACATTAAATGGTGGAGCTATGGAGCTAAATACCTTCAGAAACGTGCTATTATAAAGAGTGCCTGCCTGTAAAAATCAGACAAATTCTTAATTTCGCGGCAAGGGTCGAAAATTCGATTTCG